AAAAAAAAAAAAAAAAACAAGTAAAAAGTTTTTTAAAAATACGGAATGTGTCAAAATCTCTAACTACAGCTCAAAGGAAATGCTCACTGGAACATTTTGGATTTATGCTAAACTGGTAAGTATACTGCAACTATTCCAAAACATGAAAAAAAAAATCTGAGACCCAAAACACTTCTGGTCCCAAGCATTTCAGATAAGGGATACTCAACCTGTACCATTATCCCCCTTTTACAGATGAGAAATCAGAGACAGAGATGTTTAATAACGCACCCAAGGTCAAACAGTTGATTGGATACAAAATTTGAACCAAGGCAGTCTGACTTCAAATCTGCATTCTTAACTATTATTCTATCATCAATAGGATGCAGAAATAAAGTACCATCTAGTCCTTTTGTTTCCAATTTCAGGAAAGGAGGTGGTAATCATTCCCAAACTTCCTCAAGAAGCAGAAAACACTGTTGATATCCAAAAACACTGCCTAAGATACGTATTTATGAACAGAAATGTTACAGACTGGAAGAGAAATACATACCATGTTGTGAGAGAGCCTGTTCCAGGGGGGACACCACATTAGAAGGAGGTTTCAGCCGAATAACATTGTTGGTGACGGAGAATGCCAGTTTCACTGTCTTGATCAGCAGCTGGCCCTGCCCCTGGCCCTCTGCCCCATCACTAGGGTGCCAAATGGAAACCAAAGATGATTCAGACAGTATGACTTCATTCGCAACATATGTGCTCTCATGAATTAGATTCCAACAATAATCCCAGAGTTCAACAGCTTCTGTTAGAGGCCCCAGTCCAAACTAGGAGAGAGGAGGAGTAATCAACTCCCTTTGCTATATGCCAATCTATACAGCAGCCACTAGGGTATGTAAAGGCTATGTCCTAGGAAGAACAATGTCATCTTCTAAAAGCTACTGCAAGTTAACTTAAGCTGGAGTTATTAGTAACATGCAGGTACAATAAAGACAAACAAAGGGAAGATGGAGAAGGAGCCCTACCTTCGAGGCTGAGCAGCCATCACCATGTCAATGGTGTCCACGCCAATGCCCATGATATTGATAACTGTCTGTCCTGCCTCTGTGTATGCAAGGCTGCAGATGCAGAGAGACTGCAGGCTGGGAGTATGACTGGAAGACAGAGGTGTTCTGAGTTACCAGGGAGCCACTCAGTGTATCTTGGAAGGAAGAACATTGTCCAATTAGGCTACAGTGGCTAACCTAACCTACTGGACACTGGAGACCAGCTCTCTGTAAGCTGAAAGCACTCTGATCACTTTCCTGAAATAGACTTGATCACCTACAGATCACCCTGAGAAGCAATCTAAATGTTCATCAAGTAACAGATACGGTACCCTTACTGAAAAGGATCATAATTAATCCATACGATGGAATGCATGGAACCATTAAAACAAGACAGCTATAAGCAGTGGCATGGAAAGAAAGTTACAGTCAATACATAAAGAGGAAAAAAACTGAGAATACATAGTAACTGGTCCTGGGAAGTAGATATATATGAAGAGCAGTCTTGTCAGGAATGAACTTTTGTAAAGATCATAAAGAATGATTAATATAATAGTGTATGTGTACACACACACACACACACACACTTTCTCTCTCTCTCTCTCTCTCTCTCTCTCTCTCTCTCATTCCTACTTCTCTGTCCACAGTGAGAAATGATAAACAGGTCAATGGAAAGCAACTCACAGCCTCAAGATTACTGAGTTCTGGACTCAAGCAAGGCAAATTCTCTGGAAGAAATGAGACGGCTTTGCACAGCAAAAGCCTTTGTCTTGAATTGGCGAGCATCAAGCTCTAGTAATCAACCCTTCATTACCTGTTTTGCAGGTCTGTCTCGTGGCACAGGTTCAGTATCGCATGAATCAGCTCCAGGATCAGGCAACCTGGACTCCAGAAAAGACAGAGGAATGATGTGGCCTTGTGTAATGACCCCTTATCTCAAGAAAGGGAAAGAAAAAAGCTCTCCAGGGGGCCAGAAATCCCCAAGTCTTCCCTGCCCATGCCAGGTCTTCCCTGTCCATGCTGTCCTTACCAATCTGTTCCCTCACTCCGTGAGAGTTGTAGCGCCACTTATGGTAGCTGGGAAGCATCTCCTTCAGCACAAACATTACACAGGGCACAAGTCCTTGGCTCTGGGTACTACCAAGTTGCCCCTACAAGAAACGATGCAGTGAGGGCTTCCACACATTTAAAGAAAAGTCATTTAGTTACCTAGAGATTTAATTCCAAAACCATAGATAGGTCCAAAGGAAATCTAGGCAAACCTTCGTCAACAATGAAAAAAAAGAAACATCAAAAGTCCTACTTTATAGTTGAGCCCAAGTTGTGGGTCTTTTCTAGAATAGAAAAAGCAATGAAAGAGAACGTCACAAAAGGCACCAACATGAAGAAAAGGGATGCAGGCTAAATCTGGACAGAAGGGAGGCACCTTAAACATAAAGGATAGAGGACTGCTGATAATGAACAAGGCCACTTCACTATCATGATCACCAGTCGTCCCTAACCTCAATCCCATCACTGGAATACTAGAAAGGAGATCTGATATGCAAAAATCTGATATCCAATGATATCTGTTAACTGTAGCATCCCTCTATTAAAAATGGGGACTCTTTAGTAATATATAAATATCTATATTTATATTCCTATCTCTATATGCAATCTTTTTTTCGCCCCCAAGATGGAGTTTCACTCTTGTCACCTAGGCTGGAGTGCAATGGCGTGATCTCGACTCACTGCAACCTCCGCCTCCCAGGTTCAAGGAATTCTCCTGCCTCAGCCTCCTGAGTAGCTGGGATTACAGGTGTCTGCCACCACGCCCAGCTAATTTTTGTATTTTTAGTAGAGATGAGGTTTCACCATGTTGGCCAGGCTGGTCTCAAACTCCTCACCTCATGTGATCCATCCGCCTCGGCCTCCCAAAGTGCTGGGATTACAGGCATGAGCCACTGTACCCAGCCTACAATCATTTCTTTTTAAGCATTCATTGATTCCTGCAGGCAGGAAGTACAGTTTTTTTCATGCATGACCCTCTTCTCAATCCCATGAGGTAGAGACCATATAGCATTCTATTTTAGAGACTGTAAGATATTCTCTACTTGTTCAAGGTCATGTAGCTAGTAAGCTGTCAACCTGAATGTAAACCTAATTCTGACTCCAAAATTTATGCTCTATGTCATTATTTATGCTCTATGTCAGTATTTTTCAAACCGAGTTGTAACCCATTAGTAGATTATGAGATCAGTCTATGATCAAAATTCACTTAAACAGGGAGGAGACTGAATAGAAAATATCAGAGTACAACTTGTGTAAGAATAAATGTACTGTGAAATTCTGCTTTAGGAATATACATACATGTATATATATTGGGACATATTATCCCGGGTTACTGTCAAAATAGCTTGACAGTCACTGCAATACCCTTTTGGCCTCTTCCATTCTACTTCACAAACCTTCGAATTATTAAAAAAATTCACATAATTAAGCACCTAATAGAGCACATACTGGCACATAGTAGGTACTCAATACATAGAAACTGTTGTCACTATAACTTCAAAATGACTATTCTGCCTACAGACAAGAAGATTACAGCAGCAGGGGCCAGGGAACCTATTTCAGAGTCATCTGACCAGACTGGACACTTTCTTTTCCTGCCCTTCGTGAACACAATCAGACTGTACCTTGACGAGGGTGGTGATCAAGCGCAGAAAGGCAACAGTGACCCCATACTCGCCCTGAGGCTGCTCACTATTCATCAAGAGGTTTCCGTACCCTCCAGCGTTCATCCCTTCCGCACTGGAAAAAGATTAGAGGGAAAAAAATGATGGGGAAACTTCAGGGTTTCAAGAAACTAATCATAAAGCATTCTTGTTATAGTCTAGATGACTTAGCATAAAATAGAAAAGCTCTCCAATGGAAATAATCCAATCGAGACAGTTCTGTACCCAGGGTAAACATTAAGAATATGTTTTACTGATGTAAAACCTCAAGAGATTGAAAGTTAAAAAATCAAAGGAACATCAGGGAAACGTTTTGTCAAGAGAGAGCAAGGCGAGAACTCTCAGGTAGTAAGATGGAGCCTGTGTACTGGTAAGTGGTCTACTGGCCAAGCTCAAAAACCATGAAATGAGAAAAAGTACAGAGTGATTGTGGCTTAATAACAGGACACCAAGTCCCTCAATCTAGACACCTCTGGATTTTCTGGGCTGGAAAGTAAATGCTCACATACTAACGTGATTGATGTTGGATAAGAAATCTTTCTTGCTCTCAGCCGGGCACCGTGGCTCATGCCTGTAATCCCAACACTTTGGGAGGCCAAGGCGGGCGGATCAGTTGGAGTTAGGAGTTCGAGACCAGCCTGGCCAACATGGTGAAACATCATCTCTACCAAAAATGCAAAATTACCGGGGTGTGGTGGCGAATGCCTGAAATCCCAGCTACTCGGGAGGCTGAGGCAGGAGAATCACTTGAACCTGGGAGGCGGAGGTTGTACTGAGCCAAGATCACGCCATTGCACTCCAGCCAGAGCAACAAGAGCGCAACTCCATCTCAAAAAAAAAAAAAAAAAATCAGGCTGGGCGTGGTGGCTCATGCCTATAATCCAGCACTTTGAGAAGCTAAGGCGGGCAGATCACTTGAGACCAGGAGTTCCAGATCAGTCTGGCCAACATGGTGAGATCCCGTCTCTATTAAAAATACAAAAAATTAGCCGGGCATGGTGGCGCACATCTGTAATGCTGGCTACTGCGAAGGCTGAGGGGGGAGAATTACTTGAACCCGGGAGGCGAAGGCTGCAGTGAGCTGAGATCGCACCACTGCACTCCGGCCTCGGCAACAGAGCGAAACTCCATCTCAAAAAATAAAATAAATAAATAAATAAATTAGCTGGGCATGGTGGCTCGAGCCTGTAATCCCAGCTACTCAGGAGGCTGAAACACGACAACTGCTTGAACATGGGAGGCGGAGGCTGCACCACTGCACTCCAGCCTGGGCAACAAAGTGAGACTCCATCTCAAAAAAATTTAAAAAATTTAAAAAATAAATAAATAAAATCAAGAAACCTAGGCTAGACCTGTGACATATGTGGTTCTCACTAGGGAATATGGCCCACCACCCTAGGACCTGGCTCACCTAATCATCTGACTCAGGCTGGAGACAGGATGGGCCACAAATGGTAAAAAGCCTGTGTGATGAAGATCAGTCCAGACCTGGGAAGGAAAAGGAAGAGGTAAATGCCCACGTATCTTCAGGTATGTGCCAAGTGCTACATTTTTGGCTGTTAGGAAGATCTGGCATCTCACCTTTGCTGGATTGCGGGCAGCCAAAACAGTTAAGCAGTTGACACAAGAAGCAATGACATCCACAGGTGGGGAGATCACTGTCGTTAACCTGGTTGGAGAACAATGCACTATACTCAATAAAGCAAATAATACAACTGGTTCCCTCACAAACATTTTTCCAGTTCTCTCCCCAGTCTCTCCCTTCAGCAGACATATAAAAACAGGAAAACCCTCACAGATAAAACAACAGGAAAACCAAGGAACATGCATGAACTTTAACCCAGTGGGTATGTGTCCAGGTTCCTGCAAACTGAGGGCACAAGTGCTGAGATCTCTACTGGGCAGCTGAGGGTCAGTCAAGACAGACTCACCGCTGCAGCAGCATGTAGATGCGAGATGTGATGGGCAGGAGGCAGTCTGCTATCGACAGGTCTGTACTGATGACCTTATGGACAAGATCAATGATGGGTTTGACTCGCTGGCAGTGCTGAATCACATCTGAGGAGAAAGACAGCCTGTGACCTCGTGGCAAACCACCCCTTTAAGACCACCGAACAGTCTCTGAGACCCAGATACACAAATCAGACAAATCACAATCTTGATGGTTCTAAATTTTATGTAGATATTCTATTTTCTAAATCCTCCAAGCACGTCCATTTTTCCTCCTTGTAGTGATATTTCCCAAAGCTGACCTTACCTGCAGTTGAAACAACATGAAGCAACATTTCAATCTCGCAGGTAAAGAGGGTCCAGCTGCTATAGGAGTATTCCCAGCGTACCAGGTATGCCCTATCATCCAACATTACTTGGCCCACAGTGCCTTGAGGTATGCGAAGGTTAGTTTGACCTCCTAAGAAAGAGAAATTAGTCTCATATCTGAGGATAAATAAAAAATGTAACTCCTCTACCAGACATCAATATTTTAAATACACAGAGATACACAAACTCACAGACTCTCTCTTTTTTTTTTTGAGACAGAGTCTCACTCTTGCCCAGGCTGGAGTGCAGTGGCGTGATCTTGGCTCGCTGCAACCTCCGCCTCCTGGGTTCAAGTGATTCTCGTGCTTCAGCCTCCAGAGTAGCTGGGACTACAGGTGCACACCACCACTCCTGGCTAATTTTTGTATTTTTAGTAGAGACGGGGTTTCACCATGTTGGTCAGGTTGGTCTCGAACTCCTAGCCTCAAGTGATTTGCCTGTCTCGGCCTCCCAAAGTTCTGGGATTCACAGGCTCTCTTCTTAGTAGCTAACATTCCTACGGCTTTTTCATTTAAAATACCCAAAAAAGTTCTTCTCATGTAGACAAGTGTCTTTTTTCTTTTCTTTTTTCTTTGAGATGGAGTTTCGCTCTTGTTGCCCAGGCTGGAATGTAATGGCATGATCTCAGCTCACTGCAACTTCCACTTCCCGAGTTCAAACGATTCTCCTGCCTCAGCCTCCCGAGTAGCTGGGATTACAGGCATGCACCACCACGCCGAGCTAATTTTGTATTTTTAGTAGAGACGGGGTTTCTCCATGTTGGTCAGGTTGGTCTCGAACTCCCGACCTCAGGTGATCGCCCATTTCGGCCTCCCAAAGTGTTGGGATTACAATCATGAGCCACCACACCTGGCTGACAAGTGACTCTTTCTACATGTCTGAAAATCACTTGAGTGCAAAGAAGTTTTCCATTCAAATGATGATAACAATACCTCATAGGACTGCTAGTGCCTAGATCACTGGAGAAGTCAGTGGTGATGATGCCAGGATTAAAACAGTGAGGCTAGGCTGGGCGCGGAGGCTCACACCTGTAATCCCAGCACTTTGGGAGGCTGAGGTGGGCAGATCACAAAGTCAGGAGATCGAGACCATCCAAACAGTGAGGCTAGGCTGGGCGCGGAGGCTCACACCTGTAATCCCAGCACTTTGGGAGGCTGAGGTGGGCAGATCACAAAGTCAGGAGATCGAGACCATCCTGGTTAACGCGGTGAAACCCCATCTGTACTAAAAATACAAAAAATTAGCTGGGCGCAGGGGCGGGTGCCTGTAGTCTCAGCTACTCGGGAGACTGAGGAAGGAGAATGGCGTGAACCCTGGAGGCGGAGCTTGCAGTGAGCTGAGATCGTGCCACTGCACGCCAGCCTGGGTGACAGAGCAAGATTCTGTCTCAAGAAAAAAAAAAAAAAACGTGAGGATATTCCCTCTATATTTTCCTCTTTGAGCACCTGGAATAGATATGAGCCTCAAAGTATAACTGGCTGGGTGCACTGGCTCACGTCTATAATCCCAGTGCTTTGGGAGGCTAAGGTGGGAGAATCACTTGAGTCCAGAAGTTTGAGGCTTCAGTGAGCTATGATCATGCCACTGCATTCCAGATTGGGTGACAGAGCAAGACACCAAAAAAAAAAAAAAAAAAAAGCTGTCATAAAATGGGGGATCTCTTTATCTCACCAAGGGGATAAAGGAGTTTGGGTGTTTGTCTCCGCCAAAGAGTTCCATCTTCATGGGAGATTACATCATGAGGCTTGTGTTTATAAAGTTCATTGTAGAAAGACATCTTATCCAAGAAGCTATATACCTGCCAACAGAAAAAACCATCACACATTCTCCTCCAGGATAAGCAAGGGGAGGTCCCAGTCTGCTTTTTCAACTAGACTCTCAAACTTCCAGAAGCCCACCACTGTGACTGTTCTTGGAACTGCCTTCTGCTCCCCTCACCAAATCTTCACTATGCTTTAACACTCAACTCAAGTCCCCATCACTCTACAAGGGCAGTTATCTCTTCTGAACAGTATGGTCTTTATTGCTCAAATGACATTTACTCCATACCACCTGGCTCTTAGCTATTTATTTCTTATATCTAGTAACTTCTAAGTAGATATTAAGGAACTTTATACTTAGTCTTAGTCCCACAGTATCTACAATAGGTACTTAATGAAAAGATTATTTAGTTTTATAGAATTGAGGTGCTATCTTTCGTATCTTTCATTCACCTTCAGAGTAACTTTTGTCATGGCAGTAGAACTGCAATGTGGAAAGCAAAACAGATTCCGATTTTATAAAGTCTCTATAAAGAATCTCCCATTCTCTTTACTTACCTGACTGAGCAACTTACCTTTTTGGCAGTGGACTTCCCTGATACCAGGGCTCGGAGCAGTTGCAGGAGTGGGGAGAGGAGGTGGGGAAACATGCCACACACACTGTCCAGAATGATCCCAAGGCCCGAAGTTGGCTCCTGTGGTGGAAGGGGACAAATCACAGATCTTCACATTATCCACAAATTAACATCTCTCCAAATTTCCCAGCAATCATGAGAAAATTTAGAATTAATCCTTCCTTTTAGACAGATATCATTCCTCCTTAATAATTTAAGACTTTCACATTTCCACTGAAAAAGGATATAAAACAATTGATTTAGTGAGGGACCTAAAAAGAGACTACTATGCTATCCAGTGACCTCTTCCCAGCCATCCTTTCTATGGGAAGACAGTATTGTTCACCTGTGCATTACATGTTTCCACTAAAGTGCAAACTACCCAACTATGTCAGCAGTTAGCTACCACACAGGAGCCACAGATCCTCACTCTAGATACTGTTTCATACCAGCTTCTCCCAGGAGCACTGTGGTTCTAGAACATCAGACAGCATCTTACAAAAAAGAGGGTAAAATATACAGGTAGCTCATCAGTTGGATCTTGAGGTTTGAGGTTATTATCAATGCTCAGAGCAAGTACTGGTGAGAAATTGTTCTTTTCAAAGCCAAATTCTCACTTTAACTAGTTACAATACCCTGACAACTCATAGGCTACAGTTACAATCTCCTAAAAGTACTTTCAAGAGCTGCGGGAACACTGGTGTCTAAAACACTGCCATATACGAAAACAAAAAACTGGTGGGTTGGAAGGCTGGGCGCGGTGGCTCACGCCTGTAATCCCAGCACTTTGGGAGGCCAAGGCGGGCAGATCACAAGGTCAGGAGATCGAGGCCACCCTGGTCAACATAGTGAAACCCCGTCTCTACTAAAAATACAAAAAAATTAGCCGGGCATGGTGGCGGGCGCCTGTAATTCCAGCTACTTGGGAGGCTGAGGCAGGAGAATTGCTTAAACCTAGGAGGCGGAGGTTGCAGTGAACCAATGTCACGCCATTGTACTCCAGCCTGGGCAACAGAGCAAGACTCCATCTCAAAAGACAAAACAAAACAAAAACAAAACAAAACAAAAAACTGGTGGCTTGTAGACAGCACACTGGTAATAATGTGGGCTGCAGACTCAAGTCAGAACTGGGTTTTGGCTGCCTCTTTCTAAGTGTGACTTTGAGCAAATCACTTCACATCTCTAAGTGTCATATGTCATCACATTAAAAGAGGGACAGTAATAGTATTTAGTTCATACATTTTTATGAAGATTGAGAAAATACACATGAATGCTTAGTACAAAACCTGTAAGAAAACAAGTGTTTGATCAATTCTTTTGCTATGCAGCGACTCTCTCTGACATACTTACTGTTCCCCAGAACAGTTCCGGAAGAGAAGGGTCGGCCAGGACTTCACATGCTGTATCAATTATATCCTGTTTGCAGAGGGGAGAAAAATGGATCATTTTCCCCAGCTGAACCAGTCTATCTTTATTATTGTATTCTTTTGAAATAAAAACACCAAAACACCAATAAACACTAAAGTGGGATGACTACTTCAATCCAGGAGTTCCAGAGCACCCTGAGCAACACAGTAAATCCTCATCTTGAAAACAAATAAATAAAATAAAATAAAATAAAACAAACATCTTAATATAGAAAGTCAGAAAGAACTGATTAAGAATTGGTTGGTTGGAGGCCGGGCGTGGTGGCTCAAGCCTGTAATCCTAGCACTTTGGGAGGCCGAGACGGGCGGATCACGAGGTCAGGAGATCGAGACCATCCTGCTGACACGGTGAAACCCCGTCTCTACTAAAAAATACAAAAAACTAGCCGGGCGAGGTGGCGGGAGCCTGTAGTCCCAGCTACTCGGGAGGCTGAGGCAGGAGAATGGCGTGAACCCGGGAGGCGGAGCTTGCAGTGAGCTGAGATCCGGCCACTGCACTCCAGCCTGCGCGACCTGTCTCTTATACACATCTAGATGTGTATAAGAGACAGGGCACACACCTTGTAATCCCAGCTACTTGGGTGGCTGAGGCATGAGAATCACTTGAACCCAGGCAATGGAGGTAGCAGTGAGCCGAGATCACGCCACTGTACTCTAGACCGGGCAATAAAGTAAGGCTCTGTCTCAAAAAACAAACAAAAAACTGCTTAAGGGTGGATGGGTTGGTTGACTGATTTATTTATTTATGTTTAGGGAAGACAAGGTCATGCTCTATCGCTCAGACTAGAGTGCAAGAATTCTGGGTGAGTTTTTCTTTCTTTTTAACCTTTTCTTTTTATTTTTTGAGACAGAGTCTCTCTGTCGCCCAGGTTGGAGTGGGGTGGCTCGATCTCGGCTCACTGCAAGCTCCGCCTCCCAGGCTCACACCATTCTCCTGCCTCAGCCTCCAGAGTAGCTGGGACTACAGGCACCTGCCACCACACCAGGCTAATTTTTTGTATTTTTAGGAGAGTCGGGGTTTCACCGTGTTAGCCAGGATGGTCTCGATCTCCTGACCTCGTGATCCGCCCGCCTTAGCCTCCCAAAGTGCTGGGATTACAGGCGTGAGTCCAGCCTCTTTTTACCTTTTTTGTATGTATGTATGTATGTAAGTAGATACGTATCTATTTTTAGAGACAGGGTCTTGCTGTTGCCAAGGCTGGAGTGCAGTGGCACCATCATAGCTCACTGCAGCCTTTAACTCCTGGGTTTAAGTGATCTTCTCACCTCGGCCTCCCAAACCACTGGGTTATAGGAGTATACCACCATGCCCAGCCAAGAACTCTGGGTTTAAAAAGTAAGATTATATCCTGTCCAGGGTGTGTTGTGTCTGCTGTATAACGTTAGACAAATTCATCTCTCTGAACCAGAAATGCTTTATCTATAAGATGGGGATAGTAATATCTGCTTCAGAGTAGGATTATAAGTAAGGATTATAAATAAGGATTAAATGAGATAATGTACGTGGAAGTAGACTGTAAATTCAAAAATGCCACATAAATGTAAGTTATTACTAGGCTCAGCTAGACTGCTCTCCTAGAGGGCACAAACAATGTCTTTCTTTTTTTTTAGACGAAGTTTCGCTGTTTCACCCAGACTGGAGTGTAATGGCACCATCTTGGCTCACTGCAACCTCTGCCTCCCCAGTTTAAGCAATTCTCCTGCCTCAGCCGCCTGAGTAACTGGGATTACAGGCGCCCACCACCACGCCCAGCTAATCTCTGCGTTTTAGTTTCACCATGTTGGCTGGGCTGGTCTCAAACTCCTGACCTCAGGTGGCCCGTCTGCCTTGGCCTCCCAAAGTGCTGGGATTACAGAAATGAGCCACTGTGCCTGGCCAAGAACAATGTCTTTAATTGTTCTATCCTTAGCACTTAGCACAGAGCTTAGCAAACACAGGGAATCTAATAAATGCTCACTGAATGATTTCTTTAAAATCCAAGTACCAGGACTCCTGCAACTCTAATATGTTTTTGTTGTTGTTGTTGATATGGGGGGTCTCACTCCGTCTCCCAGGTTGGAGTACAGTGACGCCATCTCAGCACACTGCAACCTGTGTCTCCCAGGGAAGCAATCCTACCTTAGCCTCCTGAGTAGCTGGGACTACAGAAGCACGCCACCATGCTCAGCTAACTTTTTGTATTTTTGGTAGAGACAGGGCTTCATCATGTTGCCCAGGCTGGTCCTGAACTCCTGAGCTCAGGTCATCCTCCCGCCTTGGCCTCCCAAGGTGCTGGGATTACAGGTGTGGGCCACAGTGCCTGACCCTAACATGTTAATATCAATCCTCCAGGTGTAAGGTCAGGTCAAAAATAACCAGAAATCTCCCAGAGTACACAGACTTTGTTCTATACCCATGACCTTTAGAAACTGAGTCTTTTTTTTTTTTTTTTTTTTGAGACAAAGTTTCACTCTGGTCGCCCAGGCTGGAGTGCAATGTCACAGTCTCGGCTCACTGCAACCTCCGCCTCCCGGGTTCAAGAAATTCTCCTGCCTCAGCCTCCCATGTAGCTGGAATTACAGGCGCCTGCCACCATGTCCAGCTAATTTTTGTATTTTTAGTAAAGACAGGGCTTCACCATGTTGGCCAGGCTAATCTCAAACTCCTGACTTCAGGTATCTACCCTCTTTGGTCTCCCAAAGTGCTGGGATTACAGGAATAAGCCACCATACCCAGCCTCTAGAAACTGAGTCTTTCAATTCAACACAAACTCATTTCTCGCTAATGATAAAAAAATTTTAAATTTTCACCAAGTTAGTCAATTTACAGAACAAGTTACTAGTCACTGAAAATGAACACAGTGATTTAGTTTTCAGGATACCCATCAAATATCATTTCCCACTAAAAATAACCAAGGCTCCTGGAATAAGCAGATTCCAGGTCTGACGTAAGAATCTTACAAGATAATCCTGTAGCATCTTGTACCAGAAAGCAACAGAGAAAAGAGGCAAGGCACAGTGGCTCACACCTATAATCCTAGCACTTTGACAGGCCGAGGCATGCGGATCACTTGAGGTCAGGAGTTTGAGATCAGCCTGGCCAACAAGGTGAAACGCAGTCTCTACTAAAAGTACAAAAACTAGCCAGACATGGTGGCTCACACCTGTAATCCCAGCTACTCAAGGGGATGACACCGGAAAATCACTTGAACCCAGGCGACAGAGGTTGCAGTGAGCTGATATCGCGCCACTGTACTCCAGCCTGGGCAACAGAGTGAGACTCCGTTTCAAAAAAATAAAAAATAAACATAGGCTTGGTGCAGTGGCTCATGCCTGTAATCCCAGCACTTTGGGAGGATGAGGCAGGCGGATCACTTGAGGTCAGGAGTTTGAGGCCAGCCTGACCAACATGGCAAAACCCCATCTCTATTAAAAATACTAAAATTAGCCTGACGTGGTAGCATGCACCTGTAAACCCAGCTACTCAGGAGACTGAGGCAGGAGAATTGCTTGAACCCGGGAGGCAGAGGTTGAAATGAGTGGAGATCACGCCACTTACTCTCCAGCCTGGGTGACAGAGTGAGACTCCGTATTAAAGAAAAATAAATAAGGCCAGGCGCAGTGGCTCACGCCTGTAATTCTAGCACTTTGGGAGGCCGAGGCAGATGGATCATGAGGTCAGGAGATCGAGACCATCCTGGTTAACACGGTGAAACCCCGTCTCTACTAAAAATACAAAAAATTTAGCTGGGCGTGGTGGCGGGCACTGTAGACCCAGCTACTCGGGAGGCTGAGGCAGGAGAATGGCATGAACTCAGGAGGTGGAGCCTGCAGCAAGCCGAGATTGCGCCACTGCACTCCAGCCTGGGCAACAGAGCGAGACTCTGTCTCAAAAAAAAAAAAAAAAAAAAGAAAAAGAAATTAAATTTTAAAAGGAAGCAACAGAGAAAAAAAAAAAAAGAAAGCAACAGAGCTATCAAAATATATAAGGGTAGTGTCAAACAGATTTAGAAAGCTGTTACAGGCCAAAGATGGCACAATCTGAGCATAAGAAAAATAACTTCAGCCAGACATGGTGGCTCACACCTGTGATCCCAGCACTTCTGGGAGGCACAGGTGGGCAGATCACCTGAGGTCAGGAGTTTGGGACCAGCCTGGCCAACATGGCAAAACTCCATCTCTACAAGAAAAACACAAAAATTAGCTGAGCATGGCGGCACACGCCTGTAGTCCCAGCCACTCAGGAGGCTACGGTGAAAGGATCATCTAAGCCCAGGAGGTGCAGGTTGAAGTGGGATGAGATCGCACCACTGTACTCTGCACTCCAGCCTGTCTCCAAATAACAAAAAGAGACAATATTTTCTGGGGGGCTTTTGTGTGATAATGGTTGTAACGTTAAGTTCTGTTGAAATGTTTGTAGATCAAGTTAAATAGCATCTGACAATTGCTTTGAAATAATCAAGGAGGGAAGGGGCAGAAAAAAGATTATCCATGAGACGACAACAGATAGAAGCTGGTGATGGGCTCATGGAGTTCATTATGTAATTTTGTCTTCTCTGGTGTAAGTTTGAAATGTTTCATCTTAAAAAACATTTTAGGCTACGTGCCATAGCTCACACCTGTAATCCCAGCACTGTGGGAGGCTGACAGGATGGACTGCTTAAGCCCAGGAGTTCAAGACCAGCCTGGGCAACAGAGTAAGACTCTGTCACAAAAAAAAAAAGAAAATCCCGCTGCAGAAGACTTAGTAGCACCAACAAATGTCTGGGACAGATGTACTTTTTTTTACACTGGCACAGAGTGAAAAAAAGAGGTTACAAAATGGTATATATTTGGGAAGCCGAGGTGAGAAGACCACTTGAGTCCTAGAGTTCGAGACCAGCCTGGGCGACATACTGAGACCCTGTCTCTTAAAAAATAAACAAACAGGGCCAGGCGCGGTGGCTCACACCT